GTGTGTGTGTGTGTGTGGCCAGCTCAGCCCACCAGGGGGCGGGGCTGGCTGGCATGTGGTGCTGGGGGATTGAACCGTGGTCCTTGTGCTCTGCCAAGCTTGTTCCAAGTAGGTGCTTTAGACCACTGAGCCATCTCACCAGCCCCGGACAACATAAATTTAAATGAACAGATACCATTACCCAAACTCACATAAAACTAAATTTATGTGACTATCAATTGAAATAAAATGAGATCAAATCAACTAACCATTGAAGAAATTAGTTTTATTTGTACCAAACTAAAAGGTATCACAGAACTCTTTCTAGGGTCCTAAATATGAAGGCATATTTAAAATGTTACATGCAAGGGACAGTCTTGATACTAACATCTGTAATATTAATTAAAAACACTAACAGTAACTTAGGGTAGTAGGTACTATAAGTTAATATTAATATACATGAATGTTAATAAAATAGTGTATTTAATTTTCAACATGTTATTTCATAGATGTTGGATAAAATATATGGTGTATTTTAATTGATTTCTGAGGATTATCTAAAATAGCACATGCTCTATATTTAGTAATTTTTGTTTTGTATTCTCAGTTCCTGAGTCTATTCTTTCTGTATCTGTGGCTATAAAATATTGTATTAGCACACTTTTAAAAAAGTTCTCAGACTCATGCAAGGGCCCCTGCAATTTATGTAATCCTTCACATTCTTTATCTGCAACTAAAACATGCTTTTACACAATTTAACTGTCTACTTGGACAGGATACAGGTTGTCCAAATCTGAAATTCATATTGATCAGATAATTCAGTCATGAAATGAAAAAGAACAGAGAGGGTTTCCTGGTGTTCTTCAGTAGTACGTAGTAGTAGTAGTACTAGGAGTTTGGCAAGCGAAAGACTGTCAGCTCTGCGTGACTCGTATGAGGGTGTGCTCAGCCCAAGACTGTGCCATTAGACACCTCCAATCACGGCAAGTGAATTCCTTCATTTTGCTCTAGATACTGCATGGAGTTCAAGACCGAGTCCCTGACTCCCCACTGTGCTCTGGAAACCAGGCCCCTGATGCGATGGACACAGTATCTCCGAGAGGGGTACACAGTGTGTGTGGATTGTCAGCCTCCAGCTATGAACACCGAGAGCCTTCGCTGCTCTGGGGATGGTCTGGACTCTGACGGGTAAGGGAGGAAAATAGATCGAAGGACTCAAATTTTGTTACTTACTCTGAGTATCTGCCCTGTGTGTCCTGAGCCACTGATCAGTATGGGACTAAGGCATGATTTGGGCAGCCCAGGGGCTCATCTGTCCCGCAGCCTGAGTCCAGGGCATTGGTCCTTACTGCAGGACTCATGGGTCTCTTTGGTTGCTGGGGTTCAGTTTAGGCTCCCAAATGATTACTCAAAACCTGATAGCTCCAAAGCAATATTCTGATGATTTGAATCCAAATCACTTGCAATAAGAGAATACAAATATATAAATGCTGATCCCATTCTAGATCAGCTGAACTGCAGTTGTGGAGAGGGGTGGAGTTTTAATACTTAGGTCAGATGTCAGTGAGGCTTTCCTGTAAAATGCCAGCATAGATGTTTTTGGCTGTGTAGCCTATATGGCCTTTCTCACAGCTGCTCAACTCTGACACAGTGGCAGGAAAGCAGGGTTAGATGCCTTGGCTTTGTCTTATCTGATGTCTATTTATGGGCACTAAAATTGGAATTTTATAGAATCTTTTATGTATCATGAAATCACGACCGAGAGACAGATGGGCTTGGCTCTCCAGGGTGATAATCCCACTTAGATGTACAGATTTTCTGAAAGAATTGTCTGCAAAGACAATTCACCACCCTGGAAATGGGTCTCAATCCTGTACTTATTTATCAATTAAATCTGATAATGCCATTTGTAATTAGGAGTCAACTTACTTGAGAATAGTTACTAGACAGGGACCAATTCAGGTCACAAGTAGATTAGGGTTTTCAGAGTGTCAGGTAGAACTAGTGGAAAATAAAATACTGACCTTTCTAGCTAATCATTATTTCCATTGTATGCTTCAATAGTTAATGATATGAATTTATGAGTCACTTGTGCCTAAAGGCCTTTATTGAATACACCATATGAATAATAAACTGGGTAAGGAATTCATATCAAATGAAACTTAATATTTAGACTTAATATCTTTCTGAATACCTCATCCATATTTTGACTTTAAATGAATTTATAATTCAATTTGTACCCAATAAAGAAAGGGCTTAACCCCCTGGCTAAGGTACTACTAACTTTAAAAATAATAATTTTAATAATCTGGTTTTGGTCTCTTTCTGCTTCTCCCATTTTTTATTATGAAATCAAAGAGTTGGAAAGAAATGAAAGAGTTCATTTGGTGTAGGCTCTCTATTTATACAAGGTCTCACTATGCCGTTTGGGCTGCTCCTGAACTCACCATGTAGCCAACCTGTCCTTGAACTTTCAATAATCCTCCTGCCTCAGCCTTCTGGGTGTTGGTATTACAGGGGTGTGCAACCACCCTACCCAGCTAGACCCTCTTAGTTTAAATATACACAAAACAAGCCATTTTCCTTATGTGGTACTTTTATTCTGATACAGTGGAAGAAATGAGTAGAGTAATCCCAGATAACTATCAGCACAAGAGTATCCTCCCATAAGGGATTAATTGGGAACTTACTTTGACAGATCCTAAAGAAAAGGAACCTTTGTGATCTCTGAAATTTAAAAAAAACTTAGAATGTACTTCTACAAACAAAACAAAGAAACAAACCCCAAAACTTCTATTTTATAATTCTGTGAATTATCATTTCAGAAACCAGACACTCCACTGGCAAGCAATCGGCAATCCTCAATGTCAAGGGACCTGGAAGAAGGTGCGGCGCGCAGCCCAGTGTTCATGTCCATCTGTTCACAGCTTCATTTTCATATAGACTGCAACATTACGATTGCCAAATGTGTTTATGGATGTGCTACATGTTGTATGCGTACAGACCTTCAAACACTGTTTGACTGAGGCTCTGGAGCACGTGTCCTTGCGACACAGTGAGGTAACTGTGAAAACGGAAGGGCGCATTCTCAAGGAAAACAGTGTCTTTGTTTTCACTAAGGTGAGGAGGTCACCCTGAAAGTTCCTGTGGTCCTGTATGTCTCACATTCCTTCTGATCACAGAACACCCGTCTGCGCTACAAGTACCACCATGTGATCTGTCTACTTTTTGGTGAGAAGTTCTTCTCTAAGGCTGTGCTTTGACTCATGCATTTTTATCTCATTTTTATCTCTTAAAAGCTTCTCATTTTAAATAGGATATGTATTTTTTCTCTCATATACACTTCCCATATGTTATTCTATAAGCTTTGAAATAATTTCAAGTAAATTATCAGAAATAATTTCCCAAAGGGCAAATTGTTTAAAATTTTCATAAGACTTCTTTTTAGGGGGGCGGTTACCAGGAATCGAACTCAGGACCTCATGCTTGCCAGGCAGGTGCTGTACTACTGAGCTAAACCCTTGGCCTCTCCCTAAGAATTTTTGTAATGAGAAATCAACAGTTATGCTGAAATATTTTTGGGAGAAACTTTCTTCAGTTAATTGAAAAGAACAGTCAAATGCTCATTCTAGGTCAACAGATTTCCTTCTTTTTATAAAGAAAAATGTTGGTATCAATGAATAAAACAATTCATTATGAAAATTCTATCAGCATTTTTATCTCAGATCATTTCCAAGGTTTAAAGCTGAATAAAACAATCTTCCCGGGTCCAACTTCAAATTTAGTTGAAGGGTGCTCGGTACAGTACTTTTCCCCTACAGGGTCTATATATTTGAGATGGAAGGCAGGAGCACAGATGGCAGAAGGCATGGTTTTCACTGCCAATGCTATGATCACACACACAAGAGAGAAGGCATCGTCTGCTCACTTTATGACTGGAGCTTCGTGAGCTCAAGGGCACATGGCTTGCTGAGATGAAAACTTACTCTGCAGTTAGTCTCAGAACCACTCTTGAGCCTCACATCCGGGACTCGCTTTCACAGGAAAGCTGACTATGCCTGTCTGTGCTGTACAAACTAGGCCTGCTTCAGTTTTGAAACAGATTTTAAACTCAGAATCTTTCTTTGGAAAATTAAGTCTTGAGATTTAACCTGTATAAAACTTGTTCTTGGGGCTGGAGAGATGGCTCAGTGGTCTGAAGCACCTACTTAGAACAAGCTTAGCAAAGCATCAGGGACCACGGTTCAATCCCCCAGCACCACATGCCAGCAGCCGCGCCCCCTGGTGGGCTGAGCTGGTCTCTCTCTCTCTCTCTCTCTCTCTCGCTCGCTCGCTCTCAAATAAATAAAAAAAAATAAAAAAAAAAATAAAACTTGTTCTCAATTATATTACATAGTTATTCACTAACAAATGGTTTACCACAATGCCTATCTGTTATTAATGTAATGATAGAATGACAACAACGTTAAAGGGTATGGAAAAGTCAGAGTAGCAATATTTCTGACTATATATTCTTTTAACTGTCAGTTATTTTATGGAAAATTAAGTCCTTCAGAAATTAAAAAAAAAAAAAATCTGGGCTGGGGAGATAGCTCAGCAGTCTAAGCACCTGCCTGGCAAGCACAAGGACCCAAGTTTGATCCCTGGTACCACACGCTGTGCCAGCCCTGGAACCCACGGGGCACCATGATGGCACCAAAACCAGGCATGGTGGTGGATGCCTGTAATCCTAGTGCTGGGGAGGCTGAGACAGGATCACTATGACTCTGAGCTGCATAGCAAGACCCTGTATCAAATAAAATTAAAAAAAAATTTAAAATCTTGGGCTGGTGAGATGGCTCAGTGGTCTAAAGCACCTACTTAGAACAAGCTTAGCAAGCTTAGCAAAGCACAGGGACCGCGGTTCAATCCCCCAGCACTATATGCCATCCAGCCCCGCCCCCTGGTGGGCTGAGCTGGCCACACACACACACACACACACACACACACAATAAATAAAATCTGAAGCCCATCAAGGCTAGTAACTTCAAATGGAGGCTCAGCATTAACATTTTAAAGCCAATAAAGACATTTATAAAGCAGGATACCTTAAGATATATCTAAGTACTTTACAATGTTACTTACAACTTTTATAAAATAAACTTTTCTGTTCATATTTGTAAAAGTTTTTCATTTGTTTGACTAGAAAATAACCCCAAATTCCTGGACTGGCCAGATCTTTTTTTTTTTTTTTTTGTTGGAACCAGGGATTGAACTCAGGCCCTTGCGCTTGCCAGAGAAGCACTTATGCTATTGAGCCATCTCCCCGGCCTCTTGGACTGCCCAGAGAGTGAAAAATATTTCACCAAAAGTACAGTAAGAAATCCTTGAGAACTAATAGGTAGGATGACCACTAACACAGTACAGCTATGTGCACTTACAGTTCCAATGTGTGCTACAACATTTAACATAACTGTGTTCAATAACATCAATTTTCTCCATATGTGTTTAATTTTCAGTGTATGAGCACTAATTACTTTCATATTGAAGTGGTATTTTGTTATTTTTGCTCTTGAAAAAATTTTATAGGCTGGAAGACTTCACTATTAAGTAATAGTTTTGAAATGCTTGTTATTAATTCTACAAAGGCCCCAGAAAACGGATCCGAACTGAAACATGTAGTCGAAGTGATTAATGAAGAACCAGGCTTTTTATTTTAAAGTTAAAGATCAAAGTATTTAAAGACCTCTTGGCATTCTTTTTAATTAGTACCTTAGTGTTAGTGTCCTTTCCACAGGCACCCTATGATGATTTAAGGACTTGAGATCAACTATTACACTGATTTTCAAATGTGTATACAGAAAGTACTGTGAACAGGGCTGGAGAGATGGCTCAGTGGTCTAAAGCACCTACTTGAAACAAGCTTAGCAAAGCACACGGACCACGGTTCAATCCCCCAGCACCACCCCACCCCCCTGGTGGGCTGGGCTGGCCACACACACACAATGTAAAAATAAATAAATAAATATTAAAAAAAAAAAAAGTACTGTGAACAAAATAAATATACTCACCAGGAAAAAAGTGGAAAGTAGTTGGGGATAATGATCATTTTGGAGAGAGAGGAGAGGAGAGGAGAGGAGAGGAGAGAAAAGAGAAGAGAAGAGAGAGAAGTTGGGGAAAAAAACCCCACAAGATGAAGTATAATTATACCAGTCTTTTAAGATCTGGCTTTAGATCATTTGAAAATATCAAATTTAGCATAAACATCAATAATTAAAATTGGGGGCTGGTGAGATGGCTCAGTGGTCTAAAGCACCTACTTAGAACAAGCTTAGCAAAGCACAGGAACCGCGGTTCAATCCCCCAGCACCACATGCCAGCCAGCCCCGCCCCCTGGTGGGCTGAGCTGGCCATACACACACATAAATAAAGTTTTTTTTTTTCATAAATAAAGTTTTAAAAAAATAAATAAAATAAAATATAAAAAATAATTAAAATTGGAAGGGTTGGCCAAATAGCTCAGTGAGTCAAAACGCCTGCAAGTAGGTGCAGGGGCTGGGGGTTCAATCCCCAGGCCTGCTGTCCCAGCGACAGCCCTGGGACATGCTAAGCCAGCGATTGAGACTGGGTGTGGTGGCACACGAGCCTATAATCCCAGCTCTTGGGAGGCTGTAAGCAGGTGGATCACTATGAGTCCAATCTAGTAGTGAGACCCTGAACACCCTGTAGACCCTTCTCTAAAATACGGAAATAAATAAATAAAATAAAATTGGGTCTCTTTTGGCACACAGATTTTAATCATCTTTTCTAGGTATGCACAAAAAAGATATAAAACTAATTTTCACCTCCTAAGAACGTTCTAGTGAAGGCTCATATGAATAACTCACCACTGGGGAGGCTGAGGTAGGATTGCTGAGTCTTAGAGGGCTACACAATGAGTTCAAGGCTGCCTAGACTACATAGTGAGACACTCCTCCCCCCCGCCCCAAAAAAAAACCCAGAAAAATGAGGAAGAAGCAATCAGCCGATGAGACATTGAAAGAGAAGTGAAACTTCTAGGTCTGGGTGGCTGATACACATGTTTACCCTTTCTTCCTAAATTCCCCTTGAGATTGTAAGACTCACCAAGGAGATCAAATCGGAAACAGATCTAAGTGTGGGGGGCAGAATCAGCCCAGTGAGTTTGAAGGATTCTTTGAAGATACAAAGCAAATGAGCATTACTGATGGATAAACCACAAGTGGATGAAGTGACCTTTAAAACATGTAAAGCAATGGCCCTCTTGGCATGGGGGGGGAGCACCGCAGCCTCATGAAACACAGAGAAGGCAGAATCAGAGGTTAGCGCCATTCTTTCAAGTGAAAATGGGGTGGTTCCCCTGAAAGCAAGATGAATTTTTAAAATTTTGTCCCCTAGAGATGAATCTGTGAAATTTAAAATCAAGGATAAAGAAGAGAAAGAACATAAAGCCTTTCAGAGAAAAACATTACAGCACAGGAAAGCCAGTCCCTCTGAGAACACGTTGGGTATTTGAAGTCCATGGATTAAAGCCGCCAAGCTCCAAGGTAAAACGTGAACCTGGCATTCTCTGCCAGCCATTTGAAAGAGTGTGAAAGCAAGACAGAGACTTTCTGAGGGACAAGGACTCACCGACTTTACTAAAAGGCCCCACTGTTATTGGACAACTCCTTCTAAACTTGGCTGGCCAAATAAATGTGACTGGGCTTTTTTTGGGCTGCTCACCTTCCCTTCTGTAGTTGGATTCCAGGTTCTTCACATCTCCAACAAAGAACTGAACACAGAGAACAGAAAGTAGTGGCAACATTTATCCGAGAAAGTATAAGAGAAGAGTGAGGGAGAAATTGGCTCTGCAGAGCGAGGTCTGGGCTGAGTACAAAATCCCACGCCTCAGGCTGGCATCCGATCTAGTCCATCCTACTGACAACCTGCTCCGGTTCTTGAGAGAAGGCCACACGCGGAGCTCAGGGAGCTGTTTTGTGCCTGAGTTCTGGGCTTGCACTTAACAAGTTACACCAACTTCCCCACCCAGCTTTGCCACATTACATCACTACTTTTCTTGACATCCAAAGTCAGAACAACGTGAGTTCTCCATGTCCAGTGTGTGCCTGGCTAATTACTTTTCTTTAAAAAAAAAAAAAAAAAAAAATCACATTAAGGTACCATGAAATTCCAGATTATTAGATAGAGAAGAATCTAAACTCTTCCAGAGAAAAAAGACAGTTACGTGTAAAGGATCACTAATTAGAATGGAATCAGACCAAAGAAACACTTGAACAGAGAGTAATGCCTTTGAAATTAAAAAGCATTTTCTAACCTAAGATCCTATGCCCAGTAGAAGTACTAATTACACGTGAAAATAGGATAAAGATATTTTCAAGACTCTAGGACACAAAATGTTGCTTGCGCTGTATGGATCTTCTTGGGGAGGGTTTAGGAAGAAG